ATGGAAAGGTAAAAACCCTTAATTTGAGATATTTCTGAGCAGACACGGTCTTATCTAATAACAGCACTGAACATATGCTTTTTTCTGAGGCAGATTTCTGCTGTGAAAGCTTAATGGTGTTTTTTTTTTTCTTCCTTCAAAGTAAATATGTGCTCAGGAAGGAGTAATAAGAGCTTAGACTGTAGGGAGCCTGCTGAATATTAGCAAATTTAGTACTCTGAGGACAAAAACCTTGTTCTGGTCTCTTTTGGGAGTTTGAAATAAAAGCACAAACCGTGATGAATGTATGTTGTTGCATGTATGTGTGAAGTTTAGAACGTATATATTCATAGGTTCCCTTTCTTTCCCCCTCCTCCTTTTAACACATAGATTTATGAGGAATCAAAGATGAACTTGGAGCAGGAGAGGCCTTTTGTCTGCAGTGCCCCAGGCTGCTCACAGGTGAGTGGAGTCAGCGGTGATATTAATCGAGTCCTCAGCACTAGCTCTGGCTTGTATAGGGCCTCCTGATATATTAACACATGTCTAATAATAATAATGTGTGTGTTGGTTTTTTGTTTTGTTTTTCTAAAGTCCTTTTCCTCCTCAATTCCCTTATTACCCCACAAGATATTATTACAAAATATTTAAGCAAAATACAACAGCCAGTCAAAAGTGAGTTGGTAAAACTGCTTCTGTGCCTTCCCAAGCCTAATGTTTGAAGCATTGCAAATCACTATAGTGGCTAGCAAGAGAGGACACACTAGGCAGGACACATTTGTCTGTCTTTTACTTTGGTGTACGATGGAATATATTATGTTTCCTATTGAATGTGGTAACCCTTCTGATTTTTTAAAAATACTTAAAGCCAATGATATCGTATTAGCTTTTAAAAAATAATAATAAATATTTGAGACATCTTCCTACTAAATATTCTCTATAGAAAATGTAGCTTGTAGATAAATTCTGCCCCAGGATGTACATTTGGGATTCCTGTTGACTGGTGATCTGCCATGTGTCTTTAAAGGTATAAGCTGACCTATAATATTAGATGTTCAGTGATCTTAAAGAAACTGAAGCGACAGGGATTTTACCTGACAAGATTTTGAATTGGGATTTCTGTGTTGTTTCAATGATTTTGCAGTGGTGAGACAATTTTCTCCCGTGAAGCAATGAGGGAAGTTTCACGTGTCTCATGTCCAACCCTAATTTGGTGTCTCAGTAAAATCTTCACGAAAGAGCATCTTTTGGGCTTTTGCCACAGACTTCCTGTATGCATCTGTTTTAAGTGATTTAGCTTACCCATTTCCCAGAGCCTTTCTCTCTTAATGAGGATATTTCCCCGCATTAACTGTACTTTAGGAGTTTCAGCTGGCTGATATTTTTACAACCCTTTAGGTTCTTCGGGTGAAACGATGGGTGACTATTGCTGGAGTGTAGGTGTTGATTTTGCTAAGAGCTGAAATAAGGAAAGGGAGAAACCTGAAGCTGGGTTAACAACTGACTGAGCAGCTTTGACATTCACTTATTGGGAGCCTTTCTATGGGTGTCCCTCTGATAAAGGATTTGTCACTTCAGTTCTCCACATGTGGAGTTAAACTTTCACCATTCTGTCACAGAAGCAGAATAAAAATATCTGAGTTTCATAGTCAAGTTTTATTTACCTTTTTGTTGATTCTTAAAACTCACTTCCACTCAGCTCTATGGACTTGAGTGTTTTCATATCAGCTATTAATTATTTCCTCAGTGCAGGAGAAGCTGATCCAAACACTTTTGGTGTTCAGAGAGCAGGTTTGGTTGTATGCTGATACAATTTAAGACAAGCAATGTGGGTGTGACTTCATAATAAAAACCATTTAATTTCCCATTTCCAAACATGACCTGCGTTTCTTGTAAATGAGGACAGAAGGGCACACTGTAGTTCTGCTCTCCAGCTAAGCTGGCTGGAGAGACACTTCTCTGTCAGCCAGTGCAGATGCGTGTTGAAGGCTGAGGGAGCTGACCTTCTGCACAAGGAAGAAAGCAGACTTACAAAAATGTCTAAGAAGTCTGGGCTGGAGGAGTAGCTTCTCCTCAATTGCCCCATGCCCTCTTTAAGCTGGCTGATTTCACCCTGAAGACGGAGTGGGGTGTCCATGAAGGAAAATCCCTTTTCATGAGAACAAAATGTATTTTTCCCCCCCTCACAATTTCATTGAGCAAGAACTTTCACATATTCCCTTTGCTCTTAACATCAATTTCTGGTGCTGCATTTCTTCCAGATGAGTAAGCAATGAACCAGGATTTTACACTGAGGAAAAGGTCTTTGGGATATATTTTTTTTCCAAAGAACTCATTCTCATTATTTATGCTGCTTTGTCTATGGGCTTAGAGAGATTCTCAGAAGGTGTAACATACTGCAACTATTTATACTATCGCCACAAGCAAAGTCACCTAGCCAAGAATATACTGTGTTGAAAGCCTTAAGTCACTTTAACTCTGTTGTTGCCAGTCTGTTATACAGTCTCCTACATACCTGTTGCTTTAAAAAGCTGCTTTATTTTTAATTCTTTTAGTTTGGGTATTTATTTTTTTTCCTCAAGTCCTGATGATACAACTTTTGGGCTTTGCTAGTCCTGAAATAACCCTGTTAAAGCTGCTACAGTAGTTTGTAGCAAAAGTCTGTGTGTGCAGCTTCTGGGGAAGGAAATTTGACAGAACCAGTGCCCTTAGAGCCCAAGTGAGCAAGTGCTTGAAAATTTATTCAAGCTTGTCTCCTCTTTCTCTTGTTCAAAAGAAACTGTTTGTTGTAAAAGTCTGTTATCAGACTGTAAAACAAACTTAGCACACTGATTAATTTCTTACAAAGCACATCTCTCCACCTCCACTGCTTGACAAAGGAAAATAATTTAATTTAGTATCATAAAAGGTCATAAATAGTTGTTACATACCGAGCACCATTGCATTGCCACTTGGAATCAAGTCAAATATCAGAGGTTTCCAAAATTAAAGATGCATTTTGCCTGAATGCTTTTGGGTA